GCTGTGGGAGGAAAGGAAGTCTCAGGACAGAACGCAGAGAACACTGGCCTGGGTGTTAGAACACTGGGCTTCAGAAACCAGGTTGAACACCTGCGAGTCACATGACCCTAAGCCCATCATGTGCCCTCCTATAGCTCCAGGTGCTCATCTGTGGAAATACCTGCCTTGTCTACCTCGAAGGATTTCTGTGACAGCTGAGTGAGCTACCACAGCTTAAAGTGCTCTGAAACCACCATTAAAACAAGTGTTTTTGATCACTTTTATTATCAGATGGTGGTATGGCTTTTATTATCACTTTTATTATCAGATGGTGACTGCAGCCATGAAATTAGAAGATGCTTGCTCCTTGGAAGAAAAGCTATGACCAACCTAGATAGCATATTAAAAAGTAGAGACATTACTTTGCCAACAAAGGTTCGTCTGGTCAAAGCTATGGTTTTTCCAGGAGTCATGTATGGATGTGAGAATTGGACCATAAAGAAAGCTGAGCACCAAAGAAATGATGCTTTTGAACTGTGGTGCTGGAGAAGACTCTTGAGAGTCCCTTGGACTGCAAGGAGATCAAACCAGTCCATCCTAAAGGAAATCAGTTCTGAATATTCATTGGAAGGACTGATGCTGAAGCTGAAACTCCAATACTTGACCACTTGATGTGAAGAAATGACTCATTGGAAAAGACCTTGATGCTGCGAAAGATTGAAGGCAAGAGGAGAAGGGAATGACAGTGGATGAGATGGTTGGATGCCATCACTGACTCGATGGACATGAGTTTGAGCAAGCTCCGGGAGTTGGTGATGGACGGGGAGGCCTGATATGAGGCAGTCCATGGGGTCACAAAGAGTTGGATATGACTGAGCAACTAAACTGATTATCAAAAGTTCTGGGAAGAGACTTATTCTATCCTTAATGGCAGAGGTTGGTTTCACAAAGGGTTTGGAAAACTCAGTGCTGCTTATAGGCCATCATGGCAGGACAAGAACTTATCAGAAAAGTCATTTGTAAAAGCTAAGTTTTCTAGATAGTAATTAATGTTTCATTTATAAGTAGACTGCTAAAAATTTTAACCATTATTAATGTAACCTTTTAAATATGAGTCACCTATTTCCCTAACATCTTAAAGAAAACAGATTGAGGAGGTGGGGGGAATGAGTGAAATAGGCAAGGGAGATTAAGAGGTACAAACTTCTAGTTATAAAATAAATATGTTGCAGGGATACAATGTACAACATGGGAAATATAGTCAATATCACTGAAAACTTTGTATGGTGACAGATGATAACTAGGCTTAATCACAGTAATCATTTTGTAATGTATAAAAATATTGAATTGGGACTTCTCTGGTAGTCCAGTGGGTAAGACTCCACACTCCAAATCCAGGGGCTTGGGATAATCTCTGGTCAGGAAATTAGATTCTGTTCAGCCTAAATAAATAAATAAAAGTGGGAACTTGTATTTAAATAAATAAATAAAAATACTGAATAAAAAAAATATTGAATCACTATGTTGTACACCTGAAACTAATATTAACACTGTTAGTCAATCACACTTCAATTTTTAAAAATTCTTTGAATGTTACAATAAAAACTTACATATGCTTTAAAAAGAGAAAATAAAACAGGTTAAAAAGTGTCACAATCATTCATGACTCAGGGGCACCACTGTTGATATTACTAACACCTAATGGCTAATGCTATGCTCTCAGGAACCAGCGAGGCACACACAGCAGGTCTGCTCTGCAGGTCCCTGTCTGCTTGGCTCAGTGCCCCCTCTTCCTCTCCCTGCTGTGTGGTCCTCAGTGGTTGCTCTCAGCCCACAGTATCTCTGCCACCAGCACCCACTCCTCAGCCTCCTGGGTTGAGCAAAGTGAGGGACACATGGAAGAAAGGGTTGGGAAATAAATGCAAAGCCCACTCAGCTCCTGGGGAACCAGCCCTGAGTCCAGGCACAGAGCTCACTGTGGGTTGCAGAGGATTCTGTTTCCTTCCTGCCCATCAGCTGAGCTCCAAAGGGAAGGTTTACACACACATGGGCTTCCCACGGCCTCCACCTGGACCAGAGACCACCAGCAAAAGCGGCCTCAGACAAAGGCCAAGTGACCGGACAAGGCTGGGCCACTTCTAAGGGTCCTGGGAAAAGGACATAACTCCCCGCAACACCTCCCCTCTCAGGGGAAGGGACTGGGTGAACCAACTCTGGCTCTCTGAGGTCACCCCACTTACACACCAGCTATGGAGACCTCACCCCTCAGAGAGAAGCACTGATGGCGGGGGAGGTGGTCGCTGTGACTCAGGCCCAGGCAGAGGCTTCAGGATCTTCCTCTCTGCTCTGAGGGCACTGGATAGCCGGAGACCCATCTTCCCTACCCATGGTCCCCATGGAGGTGCACACAGGGGCCAGGAATGCTCAGAATTTCCTGGCTGTTCTGTTTGAATTAGAGGTGACCTGCAAAAGCTCCACATTCAACTTCAGCCTGTACTTGTTTCTCTGAGCATTATAGTCACTCATAGGACACCTGTGTATTTCAAATTTCTGTCTCATAGGACAGAAGTTTTCATACTTGAAATCCTAACCCCAAAAGCCTGACCTGGACAGGCATCTTCCTGTTGGTGCTGCCAGTGTTTCTGGGGGAAGCCCTGACTGTTCTGTGGGTGGTAACAGTATATGGCGTGAGAATCATAGATGATCCATGAGGCATTCTGTGCATCAGAGGAATTAAAAGAAGGCTGGCAGTCACAAAGGAAATGTGTTTGAATTTTAGAAAATTCTGGGCCAAGTATAGATCTTCCAATATCTAAAATACAGAGACCAGCAAGTAGTACAGATAGATCACAACACGGAAAGTTGCTCAAACAATCAATTATTTAACCAACTAGCACTGTTGCTAGTAGAGAGAATGAGCCTCCTTATTTTCCAAGTCCACTACTCCCCACTTGTCTGCCATGACCACCTAACAACCAATCTCCTGAAAGAGGGCCCAGGGCTGTAGCAGGTGCACCTTACGCAGCCCCAGGCCTGGCTTCCTGGATCCCCAGCAGGAAGTATTACTGGGGCTGGAAAACTGTGAAATCAACACTCCCAGCACCACAGTGGAGAGGATTCCCTCCCAGGAAGAACCTCAGATCCTGCAGCCTCTCTCTCATGATATCATGAGGCCTCTCCCTCTATGTGTGCTTCTCCCATGAGCTGCCACAGCCAAGACTCAGGACTCAAATTAGGATGGGATCCATCTGAGGCTTAGTGACCCCACCCATGGGGCTAACAGCCCAGGACAACAAGAAAAACTAGCAGCTCAGTTCAAACCTAGCCTTGTGGGCCATCTATTGAGATGCACCTGACTTCAGCTTCTTCAGCATCTGGTACCAAAGGGAAATTAGAGAATCAGAGCCAGCAGAGAAAGACCTGCTCCAGGATATGATCCAACATTTAACCCTGGGGCCACTCATCCAATCTGGCATGAGCCACAGGCAGACACTGAGGCCCCAGGATTTCCTGATAAGAATTTATGAGAGCTCTGCTGTGTAAGGTCAGGAAATCCTGCACAAATAGGCCATACCAGTTTGTCACCTGTGTATTTCAAATGACAATGTACTGTGAATATATGGAAACACCATCAGTGGGACAACTGCACATGGGTCAAAGAAGGGCTGGGACAGTCTAAGGAGTACCCGCCCCCTCTCCCATCCTGTGCCCTTCACAAGGCACTGCAGTATCTCTGTGGTCAGAGCCCTCTATAAGGTGGCACTCTGCCCCACCCTCTGGCACAATGGCCAACCCACATTTGTCATCAATGAGAACTCCATCTCCCAGGACCTGTGAGCTTACAAATTCTATGGTTTCCCCACTTGTGTGGGATGGACTTCACCTTCCCAGCTGCCCATGCCCGCCGTGCCCTTCAGTAAACACAGCCTTTAAACCAGAGCCACGCTGCCCACCTGTAAACCACCTGGCCCACCCAACTCACCCCAACACAACGTACTGATGACAACTCGCCACTTTCTCCACCTAAAACACCCTTTCACAGCAACTGCACCTTCCATCCCTCCTGCTCTCACACACTCACAGGCCAACCGTGTCCCTAAGGCACCACTGAGGGACCACGGAGAGCACGAGCCACCCAGGGCAGTCTGCAGCAGACCTCCAGCAGGCTCAGCCAGAACAGGGGGCTGCCGGCACTGTGTCCCCAGGTGGACTGTCCTCTGAGGGGTCTTGACCCAGGATCTTCAAGGTCATGGAGGTCACTGAGCTCAGTTTTCTGCCTCTGGTTTGCCCTGCACACCCCCTTCTCCACCCTCTGCCAATCCCAGCTACCAAGACTCGCCCTTAAACCAGCAAACCACCCCCACAGCCATGGAAAGAAAGCAACATGGAGGGTGCAGAGAATTCACAGTGAAGCTGGAGCTCCTCCCCACGGGGGCTTTGGCTCAGAGTGCCAACCCATGGGGAAGAGGGCAGCCTGGGGAAAGGTGTGCTCTTAGGAGTTCTGGGCAGCTACAGTCCAGATGCAGGGCCCTGGGTTCTGTTCCCCTGTCAGAGGAGAGGTGACGATATCTTCTTAGGAAAGCATTTATCAGTGACCTGGGCAAGTTAACAATTATTTGCCAAGTGTCTGTAAAATGTATCTTGTTCTGGGCTCAGGTCCAAGTTACCTTCCTCTAAATCACAGGGCACATATTGCCTGAAGCTGTAGAAATCTTTTGGTCAAAGATCAATCAGTGTTTATAATGAGCACCATGAACTTGCTAGCATAATATAAAATGTCTTTTATTTCAAGACCATGCTTCCACAACACTGTTTTTAATCAGTTAAAAGAAAAATAGCAACCCCTGGAGGTCCAATCCTTGTCCATTCTAAATATAAATACAACCTCAGAGCTCTATCATGTTTCTGTGAGGGTTCATCCTCAGACCTTAGACTACTGGCCTCTCTCCCCACCCATCCCATCCACCTCAGTACTGAGATACATACACCAAAAAGCAATGTGCAGTATGAAAGTCTTTTACCTCAAGAAATGCAAACATTCCCCAAATTAAATAGGATTTCCAGTAACACTTTATGATTGCTTTCATTAAGGAAGGCTCCTGTGCGTCTTTCTGGGCTCTCTTAACTTCCTGATCCCAGTATCTGTGACGAGAAACAGAGCACAGTGAAGAACAGCGTGTCCACCACAGGGAAACGGGGAGGAGCGGAGTAGGAGATGGGCCTTCACTACCGGGTGCTCTGTGGGGCCCCACAGATGCTGGCGAACTGCTCACAGGGCTCCTGAAAGATGAGTGGTGCTGACATTGAAGCACCAGAGAAACAGGACTTGAGGGAAAAGTTCCAGATTCTGGAAACAAGTTTCTGCTGAGATTTGCTGGACTCACAGGTCATGAGCAGCTCAGGAGGGCAGACACCCTCCTCCAGGGGCCCCACCTCCGGGGACAGAGCTCGGCCTCCAGGGACATGGCTGCGGGCTCCCTCTACTTCCACAGATGCACAGGGAACACGGACCTCCAAAGTGGGCTAAGCATGGGGTCAGCCTGAGGGGACTGAGCGTGCAGTGTCAGGGAGGAGGATCAGAAGAACCCAGAGGAAGGCAAGCCCGCCCCAAACCTTTAGCCTCATGTGGAAATTCTCACTTCCAGCCCTTTTCCCAGCTGCCTGTGCTCACCCTTGCAGCTCTTCTCCGAGGTGCTGGGAGCGATCTTCCGGAAGCACCGAGTACATGTCATCTGGTTCTAGTTTCCGCTTGTAACCCATTTTAAATAAGGGGTTTAGCCACCTGGTAAAAAAAAGCAAAGTGACATATTACCCTCCAAATTACCCTCAATTAGAATCCTAGATTTAAAGACTTTGTTAAAAAAAAAAGTCAACATTTTCAATATAAAGATATGGGGCAAATTAGATACACGCTTTCAAACACACGCACATATCTCTGAAGTGAAGTGAGTCATGTCTGACTCTTTGCAACTCCATGGACTGTAACCTACCAGGCTCCTCCAGCCATGGGATTTTCCAGACATGAATACTGGAGTGGGTTTCCATTTCCTTCTCCAGGGGATCTTCCTGACCCAGGGATCGAACTTGGGTCTCCTAATTGCAGGCAGACACTTTACTGTTTGAGTCACCAGGGAAGTATATATCTCTAGGTATAGGAAAGTCACACTGGCTTCTACATGATATACCTTAACTAGAGCAACCTGTTTGTGGCCTAATGAACATACATTGTACATCTGCTTTAATTATTATGGAAAAATACATTTAGAAATCAAAATAAAGTAACTGTGGTTCAGGCATGCAGAATACAGCTGAATGGCCATTGTGGCTAAGGCTGCAGATATAGTCCTATATTACTGAGGACTTAAATCTTCCGAACTGTAGCAGATTCAAGGATACCTCCAGTCTTGTTCAAAGCAGTTGCAACCTTGAGGTCTCAATATCTCCTTAGATTAACTGTCAACACAAAGGAATTTTTACAGGAAATCAGATCGAACCCAGGTCTCCTGCATTGCAGGCAAATTCTTTACTGTCTGAGCCACCAGGGAAGCCCAAGAATACTGGAATGGGAAGCCTATCCCTTCTCCAGGGAATCATCCTTATTCAGGAATCAAATGGAGTCTCCTGCATTGCAGGTGGATTCTTTACCAGCTGAGCTACCAGGGAAGACCCCGGATACAACACCCTGAATCTAACAGGCTCTCGACCCTAACTTCTTTACAGCCCTGTCAGACTCTCCTCAGCCAGACCACCACGTGAGCCTTTTTCTGACCTCCTGAAGACATCCTAAAGATAAGCAACATCTTCCGACATCCTAAAGATAAGCAACATCTTCCGACATAAAATGCACAGTTGATTCTTCTTATCCCTGGCAGATGCTTTTATCTTTAAAAGTAACATTTAAACATCCAAAAGTGCTGGAGTTTTACTGACTGTTGGATCTGTCACCATCAGCTTCAGTTGGGGAATAAATACAACCCACCAGACTTTCAGGGAACTGCACTAACAGTTGACAACATCACCAAACTAGGTTTAATTCCTCCACATCCAGGCTTCTGCCCAGGGACATCCAGGTTGCCCACTGCCACCACACCCCTGCAAAGGCATATTTGTTAGTCAAATCCCTGTTTCCTGGGGGTCCAACCAACTGTTCACTATGAGCCCTCCACCTACAGGCATAGCTGACTGTAGACAGTTACCATGCTTATGGGCTCTGGGGACAGGATCATACCAAATATGGAGGGGTGTGGCCATGCAGCCAGAGACCTGGATGGAAGGGCACCAACCATGAGCCTAAACATGACTCAAGAAAACCCAAGACAGTGTGTGCACCTGAGGGATGTTTGTTCCTTAGGGCTCTTATGGCAAGGGCCACCCATGTTGGGCCATTAACTGTTTCCAAGAAAACTACCAGGGAACACTGGGCTATAGGTGGTTCAACCCAGATCCAGGTTACATTCAGATTTTAATTACACTCACACCACCTCTGAACCAAAGAGGGCCATTCATCTAGTCAGGAAAGGAACTAGACTGGTAATAGCAGGACTTGTCACTCTTGGAGGATCCCTGGTGAGCCTAACAAGAGGAACAACTTATAATACCATAAGTATAAAAGAAGTTGCTGGGACAGTGGCCTGGGTAACTAGAAAATCCAGTTCCAAACTTAGAACGGTAAAATCTTCACCGGACTCTCTGGCCCAGAAGACATTTGACCACTGCAAAGCTCTTTTTTACCTGCTGGCTAATCAAGGGGGAGTTTGTGCCCCACTCACCATTTCCTGTTGTTTCTATGTTAACATGAGCAGTCAGATAGAAGAGAGTGCATCCCAGATGCTAGAGAAAGCCGCTTGCAGACAGAGAAAGACAAATATCATGTGGTATCACTTACACATGGAATCTTAAAAAAATGGTACAAATGAACTTATCTACCAAACAGAAGAAGAGTTACAGATGTAGAAAATGAACTTATGGTTACCAGGGGGTAAGGGAGGAAGGGACAAATTGGGAGACTGGGATTGACATATATAAACTATTGTATATAAAATAAATAACTAGTAAGAACTTACTGTATACAGCAGAGGGAACTCTACTCAATACTCTGTAACTCTGGAATGGCCTATATTGGAAAAGAATCTTTTAAAAAGTGGATATAAGTATATGTAAAACTACTTCACTTTTCTGTGCATCTGAAACTAACACAACATTTTAAATCAACTATACTCCAAAAAACAATATTAAAAAAAAAAAAAAAACAGAGAGAGGGCCACTTGGTTAAATACTCAGAACAAGAAGGGCCTGACTGAACTAATTTGAAAGGATCAGAAGAGCTGTTCCCAGGTTCCATGGGCTTCTAAGGCCATTCTTAGAACCCCCTACAGTTACTCTCCTTCTCTTGCTCTTTGGTCCATGATTCCTCAATTGTCTCATTAGTTTTATATCTTGGAGAACTGAGTCAAGCTTCTGATGGTCTTTACTTAGGGCTATGAGAAATTGGGACTCTAGCCTGTTGACAATCAGATTCATTTTTGTTGAATCAGGAAAAATTCTGCTCTTCTAACCCAACATATGACAATGCCCTTGCTCAGCAAGAAGTGGTATCAGAAGACCAACCTTTGCCCCTCAGACTCCCTCAGGAATGAGGAGCAGTAAAAAGGAAAGGCTGTTACCCTGAATTATATCCCTTCCCCTTTCTCAAATGGAAACCAACTGCTCTTATCTGAGCTTCACACTCAATCATAAAAGGAAAGAGAAAAATAAGAACTGATTAGAATTAGCCAGGACCCAAATGGCAGAAGACCTAACCTCCAGTAGACACAGACCCTCATTACACATTCACTGTAATATATTAGCATGATAAATGACACATCCACCAGGACCACTACAGTTGACAGTGGCTATGACAACAACCTGAAGAGCTCACACAAGGACTAAAAAGGAGTGTTGCCTCATTTCACATCCAAACTACACCCTGTTTTGGGGTAAGCCATGAATATTCCTCCCTCTCTTAATTCCCTTCCTCCTACCTTAGCCCTCCTATACTCAGTGTCTAAGCCAAATTGGGTTGAGAGGTTGATTTGCAAACTAAATCCCTGCTTCTCAGTTCTTTGGTCATTGAGCAACTTGTCTTCTACCAGTCTCACCATCAGTTTACTTATAGGTTGTGGGAATCTGAGTGAAAAAAGAACCTCCCCAGTCATGAAAGGGGGTCTCAGCCTGGGCTAGGACCCTGGAACAAGTCCAGGCAACCAATTCCATGACAAGCACAGCAGTTACATACACAAGAAACGTAGACTCCAGACACAAACTCTACCGCTTACTAGCTGTGTGATGGTAGGCAACTTACTCAAACTCTCTGCTTCAGTGTCTTCAGGGTGAAGTAAGAGATAATAGCTCCTTTCTCTCCAGCAGGAAAACTGGAAATGGGTGTCAATCAATATTGAAGAGAAGTCCTCACCTTTCATTTCCATGCACATATAAACGTTTTCAAAGTCCACAAACAGAACGAGCTTGGAGAGTTCCTTGCCCTGCCTAAAGTTAAGAAGATGTTTGCCTGGTTTGTTATTACTTACAGTAACCACACCTGTATTCCTTCTTCAAGGTCCCTCTTTCCTTGTGCTGTGCTGTGCTTAGTTGCTCAGTCATGTACGACTCTTTGTGATCCCATGCACTGTAGCCCGCCAGGCTTCTCTGTCCATGGGGACTCCAGGCAACGATACTGGAATGGATTGCCATTTCCTCCTCCAGGGGATCTTCTGAACCCAGGGATTGAACTCAAGTCTCCTGCATTGCAGCTGAATTATTTACCATCTGAGCTACCAGGGAAGCCCCCCTCTTTCCTTAGTGATGTGAAAGTAGCTCACAGTCATGTCTGACTTTTGTGGCCCCATGGACTACAGTCCATGGAATTCTCTAGGCCAGAATACTGGAGTGGGTAGCCCTTCCCTTCTCCAGGGGATCTTCCCAACTCAGGGATAGAACCCAGGCCTCCTCCATTGCTGGCAGGTTCTTTTTCAGCTGAGCCACAAGGGAAGCCCAAGAATACTGGAGTGGGTAGCCTATCCGTTCTCCAGCGGATCTTCCCGACCCAGGAATCAAACCAGGGTCTCCTGCATTGCAGGTGGATTCTTTACCAACTGAGCTATCAGGGAAGCCCTTAAGGGTCATCAAATGGCCAAGAGACGTAGCTACGCACACTGAATAAACTACCATCAAAACAAGCATAGGAGCTCCCATGCCCCAGGGACCCCGTAGACTATCCCATAAAAGGAGGAAATATCAGAATTTATGGAAAAGATGGATCCAGAAACAAAAGACCTAATAATCACCCAAGTGTAATTTAAGTCCAAAGGTTCAGGCCTGCCTAGTTAGTAGTCCCAGTTATCAGATGAAAACTTTAGTTAAGAACTTCCGCTCTCTGCAGCGTTTTTTCATTGGTGCTTCCTCCCAGCTCAGAGACCAGTCAATGGTTTCAGGACCACAAGACTCCAGGGCAGGACCACCTGCATCAAGATCATGCACTGCTTCTCTGAAGGCTAAAATCTAGATAAGACCCCACTTCCCCAGGGTTTGGTCTTCAAAGGTGGAAGTGGAGATATTTGCAATAACGAAAGGGGCTGTGGCCAAATATACACTCTGCTCCTGGCCATGTGTTCCAGATGAAAGCAAAACATGTTCCAGAAATAGTGTCCCCATTCATTTCATAAAAACTAAAAGTGTTTTGTACACACTTGAAATTGACCACAACTAGGTACCAGGACATACAGTCAGTCACACAGGGAGAAAGGGAGGGAGAGAAAGAAAGACAGGGTCACAGACAGGGGGAGAGCGGGAGTCCAGGGTAGCTGGATCTCAGTTGTTCACCTAAGGAACATGGGAAAAGGTGGGGACATTATTGGAAGATGGCAAAGGTGCAGGGCAATAATTAGATAAAGTTGTTCATAAGCTGCTTGCTTAGTGGGGAGAGGTGCAGCTTTAGTTCAGAACTGACTGAGTTCCTGAGGAGTTCTGAGGAAGACAGATAAGGTGGACAGTAGGAGGCCCAGTTCCTTCTCCCGCTGGGCTGTGACTCCCCCTAGGCAGCCTCCCTACCTGCAGCATCAGCTCTCAGGCTCCTGAGACTGGCTGGGTGGAGGGCAGCAAGGCAGGGAGAGCCAGTACCCCTGCCACCAGGTCCCCAGGTACCTCTCCCAGTCCTGTTGCCCCCTTGGGGGCACCCGAGCGTACTCCCTCGCCTTGTCCCTTGGTTCCTAAAGGAGCCTGCAGTGTCAGGCATGCCGAATGTCACAGCTCAGATGGGGCGCTTACCAGACAAACAGGCGCGAGCAGAAGTTAGCGTTCTGCAGGGGGTTGGGCTTCACCTCCGGGGACACAGGCAACATCTTGCCGGTCAAGGCGGACACGGACTCAGTTCTCACTGCTCAGGAGGCGGTGGGGCTCCCGGTGCTCCTGGAGGCGCTGGTGGGGATGCTGGAGACTGGCCGCCTCGCAGGTCCACTGGGTGGGAACCTGAGAACACCTGCTTCTGAGAGTGGAGCTCAGGTGGCTCCAGGTCCTGCCTCACAGGACTGAGCAGCCTCCAGGGACCACCTCTGAGGCACCCACTCTGTACAGCTGCTCCCACAGGCATAGGATGGAGGCAGCGCGCCACGTGTGGGGCTGCAGGACTAAGAGACACCCGGGTAGATGCTTCCAGAAGCCCCACACAGGTGGGAGGCAAAGCTACCAGCTGTTTGATAAAAGCAGGCAGGCTGACTGCCGGGCACAGCCAGCCCAGCTCCCCGGAGCACACCTGGCTGCAAACTCTGCGGAAGTTCTTGGTCTGAGCCCAGGCACTCACCCAGAAGGTGGAGAAGCAAGGCTCAGCCCCGCCCATCTCTGCTGCTCAGAGGCTCCCCATGTGCTGCAGAGGGAACCAGGAGAAAGCTGGCAGAAGGAGATAGCAGCCCACCCTCTGGGCACACTGCCCTCCTCAGGACCAAATCAGGGCACTGTGGAAAGGTCTCCAACTGGAATGGAGCAGGACCCTGTGGGGCCTTCCTGAGATAAACCCCAACCCCACTGCATGCCCTCTGCCTGTCTCTTGCTTGTAGAAAAGCTTCAGTCTCCCAGGCCTCCTCTGAGTCACAAAAGGCTAGCTCAAGAATCACTGACTGGAAAAATGTGAACATGTACTAACAAAAATTTAATCAATAGATTAGCCATACAGCAGTCACAGAATCTTTAGTTCCTCCCTGAAGGCTACAGATAACAGGGTCTAGTGCACATTCCTGAGTTGTTTTGCAGATGCTAGAAAGCCCACCATGTGAGAAAAGTTAACTGCATGATAACCATGAGAAACTGGAACCTAAGGATTTATGATGATAACCCCTGCTACATCACACTACTCCTCAACATCAACCAATCAGAAAATGCACATGAGCTAATCAAGTACCTTGGACTCTCTCCCTTAGCTTGCATTTAAAAATGCTCCCCAAAAATCCACTGGGGAATTCCAGCCTTCTGAGCATGAGTATCCTGTACTTCTTGCTTGACCCTTGCAATAAACTTTTCTCTGCTCAGAGAACCAACATTTGAGTTTGTTTCTTCTCACTGCACCTTGGGCACATGACCTTGGATTGGTAAATACAATCAGCAGCCAAACATTTGACCTTGGCCAATAACAGGGTTCATCACGGATTATGTTTGTAGAGCTGCAAGACTTAAAGAAAGGTAAGAAAAGATTAGAAGATTTCAAATGATCTTGGTAGATGAATTCATGTTGTCACAGGAGATCTCTGCAATATGTGAGATGTCTTTTGGCATCTCAGGTTACATTGTGGGGGGACCTCAGTGAGCTTTTCCCTGCCCTCCTACAAGGGGCATTTGGGACAGAGAGATTTCCTTATGATTTCTTTCATGAGTTCAGGGCCTGCCTAGTAGAATAACAGTGGCATATGTTACAGAATATAGGTTATGTGCATTTCTAGGGAACTAACTTAATTTTTAACTCCCACAATGCCCTATTCAGTTCAATCACTCAGTCATATCCTACTCTTTGTGACTCCATGGACTACAGCATACCAGGCTTCCTTGTTCATCACCAACTCCTGGAGCTTACTCAAACTCATGTCCTTCGAGTCAGTGATGCCATCCAACCATCTCATCCTCTGTCATCCCCTTCTCCTCCTGCCTTCAATCTTTCCCAGCACCAGGGTCTTTTCAAATGAGTCAGCTCTTCACACCAGGTGACCCAAGTATTGGAGCTTCAGCATCAGTCCTTCCAATGAATACTCAGGACTGATCCTTTAGAATGGACTGGCTGGATCTCCTTGCAGTCCAAGGGACTCTCAAGAGGCTTTTCGAACACCACAGTTCAAAAGCATTAATTCTTCAGCACTTGGCTTTCTTTATAGCCCAACACTTTCATCCATACTAGACTACTGGGAAAACCATAGTTTGACTAGATGAACCTTTGTCGGCAAAGTATTGTCTCTCCTTTTTAATATGCTATCTAGGTTGGCCATAGCTTTCTTTTCCCAAGGAGCAAGCACCTTTAATTTCATGGCTGCAGTCACCATCTGCAGTGATTTTGGAGCCCAAGAAAATAAAGTCTCACTGGTTTCCACTGATTACGCATCGACTTGCCATGAAGTGATACAGCCCGAGGCCATGATGTTAGTTTTTTTGAATATTGAGTTTTAAGCCAACTAAGAAGGTATTATGTCTGTATTCCAGATGAGAAAAATGATACTCAAAGATAGCACTTCTCCAAAGTCTTTGAATCAGTAAACAACAAATCTTGATTTGGATTCAAGTCCAAGTCCAGCATGATCATCTCACTGGTGAATGGCCAGTGCATGAAAAGTGTCTAGAATATGCTCTCTGAATGAATCAATGACTGTAGGACTGAATGAACAAACTCTTGGGCTCCTACTCATGGCGTTATTTGTGTAGCTGTCTTACCAGCTCAGCAGCTTCTCTTCCTCTTCACATATGTAGAAAAATCAAAGTTTGTGGTGCCTGTAACAAGATCATTTCATTATTCTTTGATAATTTCCCATGTACCTTGGCTAAAATGGTATTATTAATAATGAATTTTAGCTTCAGTTATGCAAGATATATTCTGCAGAACTAGTGTACAACAATGTGGCTACAGTTGACAATACTGTACCATATACTTTTCATTTGTTGTGAGAGTAGATCTTGGGTGTTTTAAAAAATAAAAAAAAAAATTTAAAAAAGCAAAATGGTTAAGATGTGAATTGACATATATTGATTGGCTTGGTGTGATGAGTATTTCACAATATATCTGCCAAGTCATCAAATTGTACATTTAAATATATACAATTTTTGATTGTCAATTATACCTCAATAAAGCTGGAGGAGAAATCAATTTTAAAGAAACCCTTAATGTATTCAGTTTTTTATAAAGCAGGTACTCAAGGAAAGTCATACAGTAACTATTTATTAAATACATACTATTCTAGGAGCTAGGGATACTTAAGTGAACAGGATGAGTGGTATAAAGCAGGGTCTTTGTAACATCAAGTCCCTAGGGCTCCTGAGTCTAACAGGATCCCTCCTTGGACAGTGTGACCTGCTGGAGTAGAAGCTGTCACTTTCCAGCTCGTGTCCTCTGACTTGTCTCCAGGACTAAGGAGTTCACTGCTTATCGACCAATCTCCTACCAATGAAGCACACAAGGGCCATATGCAAAGCAAGTCAAAAACCTTGGATTCAATTCTTAACCAGTGATGGATGAGGAATGGGTAGATAAATGCCCCAGTGCCCTTGCCTGTCAGCTGGAAAAATTCTGTCTCCCAGGGTGACTCTATTGCAAAAGCAGTAACTTTCTTGCTAACACATTTTTTATTGGTTTCCTTCCGGCTTTTGTCTCACTTCTCCACTCCCTACATGTGTTTTCCTAGCATCACTTCTAAAATAAACCAATTTCATGCAAATCTTTGCCTTAAGGTCTGCTACTGGGGAATCCAAACTATGACACCTATGAGGAACATATTTCTAATTATTGAAAAACACATTCACTCCCTTGAACCCATGAAAATCCTTATTAATATTATAAACCCTGGGTTGTCAAACACAGTAGCACTATTCACATGATGATTCTGAGGACTTTAAATGCATCTGGTAAAAACTGAGGTGTGATTTAACTGTACAATACACCACAGATTTCAAAGACAGCATAAAACTTTTTTGTCTCAATGATTTTTTACATTTATTACATATTGATATAGTATTTTTGACACATTTGTTTAAAAATGTCTTACTAATGTTACTTTCATTTGTCCCTTTTAACTTCTTCACATGGCTACTGAAAATTTAAAAGTACAGATGTGGCTCACTATATATTTCTATAGATAGTACTACTTTTCATCAATGGACAGGCTTTAGCACTACAAATGTCTCTCCCACTCAAGAAAGCAAATCAGTAAGGGTGTTGTTATACAAATCTTGAATATGATTGAATTCATGAAAAGAAGTCATACTCACATTTCAGAACTTTGTTATTAGTAATGAGTTACCTGTGTTACTCTCCACTGGCCCTCAGTCATATTTGCATTATTACACTATCATATAGATCCCTGATGTAAAAAATTAGGCAAAACTGCTCAATGTGGGCCAATATAGTCTATTTGGTCTTCATTTAAGATGTTATAATAATACTGGAAACTTCAGTTATTTTGTTTTGAGCCTTTCGGAAAACTAGTTCATTATTGAGATAAGTTGTCCAGCAACTGCTAAGAGTTAATAAAGGTGTCCTCAGAAAATAATATACCTAAAAAGATGAAATCCCTGCTTTCATTAGGCTCACAATGTAGAAAAGGAATAAGTAAAAAGAAAATTACAGCAAAATAATAATGTAATAATATAAGCATACAAATATATTCATTCTCATCTATTAAATTAACAAAGCTCTTTGAAAACAAGAATACCCCATGCTAACTAAGGTAATGTGTATGAGCACTGTAATATACTATTGGTAAACTATAAATTAGAATAGCTTTTTCAGCACATAATTTGACAATATTTATTAAGAGCCTTAAAAATGTTCATCTTCTTTGACTCAATAGGAGCTTTACTTATAAGATGATGAAGACAAAAAGTCATTTATAGAAAACTATTTATATACAAATATTTCTCAGAGCTGTGGTTATTATTAAATTATAATGGAACTTAGAAACATCTAACTTCTAAGTTCAGGGATAGCAACATGATAAAATAATTATGAACTATTTTTAAACACATGTTTTTGAACATCTACCATGCATCTACCCTTCAAGGCACTAGGAATCAACTGTCTACAAGACATGCAATGTTTATCTTCTCACAGTGTTTACAATGAAGTGTGGAGAAGGAAATGGCAACCCACTCCAGTGTT